TTTTGTTTTAGTATTTTGAAGTTGACCAATTGTTACTATAAGCAATTAATGATTATAGATGATCTGCACCGTATTATATATTTATTTTCTAATGTGAAATGAGTATTTCTCTATTATTCAACAATATAGCTATTTAATTATAAGCAACACAATCAAGACAGGACGAACAGATAAATAATTAGATCATTTGAGATTTTATAGATAACTTTAATATTTGCATTTTAATTAGCATTAAAATTGATAAATAGATTTTGGTTCATAAAAAAAAATTTGAGCATTTCTATGAATTTCAAAACTGCGGAACGATACACACACGGCTTTGCCTATACGGAAAAAGACAGAAAAATTGATATCATTTAACGTGATACATGCAGACCCTGTCATGGAAAAAATGTTGTATGATTTGGTCATGAAGCGTATGAAATTATTAAAATTGATTCTTCATTAAAAGGATTTTTTACTATGTTGCAGATCGCCCTATTATATCACAAATTTATATCACAAAAATGAAATTAATGGCCCACATGTTATGTATATAAAATGTTTCAGCTATCACAGAAGCATACCAATCTGCATATATTCATATATAGAATTATAATTATAATAATGGCAATAAATAATAATCACTTATATATATAAAACAACTAATGATTAATAATAATAATATGTCTAGGTTTGTTATGATACAAGAGATAAAATTTCTTTATATTTTAAAGGCTCAGGATGTTTAAAGAAGTGTCATACGGCTATCTAAGAATTTGAAAAATAAATTTGTTTTATTAAAGGTATTTTCCTTTTATTTTTCAATTACGATCAATTCTTTTTTTAAAGTTATTTGTATATATAGATGGATAGATTTATGAAATATGAGATAAAAATTTATTTGTTTAAGAAATATTTAATTAGCGGTATACAAAGAGGTAAGTGATAATGGTGACAGTTATTATAGAAAATGTTTCAATTAATTGATTTATTGATTTAATTGATTGTTTATTTCATAATTCTATTTATCATTTAATTTATAGCATGTGCTTTGGTTCATGTTTAAGGTAGGATGGTGTTTTGTTCTCATTGAATAATTCTTCTTACTTTGTGGTATATTCTAAAATCCAATGTGTGGATCACATAATATTTCAAAAATTTTAACTTTTGAGTATAGATGATCCGCACTCTATTTCAAAATCAAAATTTCATTGCTAATAAAAGTCAAAACTAAAATCTGTCCTGGAATGATAATAACATTAAACAAATGTTTTATTAAATCAGGCAGCTAAATATTAAGCAGGCTTTAAATTTCCTGTGTTGTGTAAAGAGGTTAATATTATTAATAGAAAATGTTTGTAGAAAGGAGAAACAAAGGAACGAATTCTCATTTGCAGAATCTTTTAAAATTATTAAAATTTAGACCATTGGTTGCAACTTCTAAAAGTATTTTACTAGAAGATTTGATAGAAGGTTTTATTCACAATTTAAGCTTAATCTGACAGTTTTAAGGGCAGTGAAAATAGATGTTTGAAATGTATTATTAGTTTTATTTGGTTATGAACATTTATGGGTTTGTTTACTCCATGTAGATATAATGTGTGTGTTAAAAGATAGTTTTATACATAAAACAGTTTAAGAAAATGGTTAGATATTGAAGATGATCATTTCATAGGATCCTGGTTCAAAGATGTTTTCTGTTTTCATTGCAATTTCAATTTTTGTTGTAATTTCACCTTCCTTTGATTAAAAGTAAATTATTGAATTTCCTTTTTTATTACATTAAATATTATTATAAATTAATTGATAATTTGGTATTCTCCTTTTATCAATAGGACATTCAACTATCAATTTTCCTCTCATAGCACCACGGTAAATGACTTCTATCAAGTCATTAAAATCTTGTTTTGAAGCAAATGTTCCAATAAATTTAGTATGATCTGATGTTCTAATTGAACAAAAAATAAAATAAAATAAGAAAAGAATAATAGAATAGAATAATCAATAATTATAATAATTATAATCAATTAATTAAATTACCCATAATCAACTTTAATATGTTGAGCATTAAAGAAAAATATTGTAGCAGGAATGAGTGATATATCAAAATATTTAACATAATCTGGTACATTATCTACATCAATTGTAAAAATTTTGGCTAATTTTGAAAGTTCTGGACTTGCCTTTGCTAACTATTTATTTTATTTATTAAATATTTAATTAATTTTATAAAACAATTTTTTCAGTTAAAATTTATTAACCTACAATATGATCTAATTGTAAACATATAGAATCTTCTGCTTTACCAAATCTTAAAGCTAAAACTAAATCTTCTGTGTTGCGTATAACATCATTAATTTCATTTTTGGTGGAAAGTGATGGAAGTAAATAACTCATTATCAAATTTAAAAAAAAAATTCTGTATCACCAAATAAACATGGATTTAACTAAAATGCCCAACAGTTAGTTTTTTCATCTTTAAAAAATATTCAACAACCTAGTTGATTTTAACAATGATATCTTACTACTAAATAAATTAGCAAGCTTGTAAATTATTAGCAAAATTATTGAACGAGCTAGAATTTATGATGTAGAGAGGTTAGAGTTGGAGTGGATGTAGATGTTAAAACCTTTTAAAGCTTATCCTATCATTTTAACACGGTCTTAATATTTTAAAGATAAAAATGGTACCATTTATTTGAAAAATTTATTTTTTCCAGATATATTTGAGGTATATTAATTAATTGGTGATTGCTATTATTTAAAATCATAGGTATTTTCACAATGGAGCTCTTAATGTAGATAATCTGGATGGTAAAGTTGGTGTCCGCAACGAAGAAGTTGCAGATACTAACTTTGTTGAGTGGAAAATGAAAGAACTTAGATTTTAATGAATTAATTGAAGATTTACAAAAAAAAAACCAAAATAACGGATGGATTCAACGGAATTTAGTTTACATCTAATTCATAAATTTCATCATAATCAATTTACTTCATAGTCAATTAATTCATTAGTGATAACTGAGAATCATATTTTAAATCCGACGATTTTAAAGATATTGAAAAACCTGTGCTTCCGCAATTTTTGGAATTAATTTATACCATCAGGGCTGAAGTTACAGTGTGTCTCAAAAAAAATGGTGGTCACAAAAATATCACATATCTCAACAATTACATAACATAGTTAAATAAAATTGGATTCATTTGAAAGCTTTATCATTTACTTTATTAAATAATAAAAAATAAACATGAAATGCTATTGCCAATTTTCTGTAAAGCTAATTCATATATTTTTTTTAGAACTTTGCTAAATTTTTGTCTCTGAAATTTTAACATGGAATTTTTTAATGATAACTCTGACACAAGCATATACATAGTAATTATACAAAAAATTATACCAGTCTGTAGCAAAAGTTCTGTAGATTATGTATATAAAGTTCCACACTTCCAGATTTTCTAGACTTTTATCAATTGAAAATAAAAGGAATTTGATTATTTGAAAAAACCATCCAAATGCGTAAATTTCTTTAATGATTGCTCTAAATCCTACATGACAATATACATCAAAAATTTTCTATCTTATAATCTAAGATCTTCCGATTCTCTGGTATAATTTTTATTACATAAATTTTGGCTACTTTTTCATTAAAAACAATATTTTACAAACCACCATTTTTTTTGAGACAGTGTATATATGCATAGATTGACATGTGTTACCTTGTAAATTAATTTTTATTTATAAATTATAACTTTCAAAAAAACAATCTAGAGTACTTTGTTCCAAGGAATCATTATAAATTTTTTTCATTGTATTTTTTACACTAATCTCATCTGGACAGTCTTTATGTTGCTGCAACAAGCAAGTCATAACTTTTTCTAAAGGTTCTAATCCTTCCTTATCAGGTTACATTTTTTTCCTAAAAATAAACATTGAAATAAATTCTTTTGAATACACACTTTAATAATCCTCTCTCATCCCCAAAGAGCATGGTGGACATTTGATTTCATTGGCTAAATTTTATGATGATCTCCCTTCCAGATATCACGCAAAAATTAAATTTTATTAGCTTGAAGATTGTCATCTGATGTTCTAATTGAACAAAAAATAAAATAAAATAAGAAAAGAATAATAGAATAGAATAATCAATAATTATAATAATTATAATCAATTAATTAAATTACCCATAATCAACTTTAATATGTTGAGCATTAAAGAAAAATATTGTAGCAGGAATGAGTGATATATCAAAATATTTAACATAATCTGGTACATTATCTACATCAATTGTAAAAATTTTGGCTAATTTTGAAAGTTCTGGACTTGCCTTTGCTAACTATTTATTTTATTTATTAAATATTTAATTAATTTTATAAAACAATTTTTTCAGTTAAAATTTATTAACCTACAATATGATCTAATTGTAAACATATAGAATCTTCTGCTTTACCAAATCTTAAAGCTAAAACTAAATCTTCTGTGTTGCGTATAACATCATTAATTTCATTTTTGGTGGAAAGTGATGGAAGTAAATAACTCATTATCAAATTTAAAAAAAAAATTCTGTATCACCAAATAAACATGGATTTAACTAAAATGCCCAACAGTTAGTTTTTTCATCTTTAAAAAATATTCAACAACCTAGTTGATTTTAACAATGATATCTTACTACTAAATAAATTAGCAAGCTTGTAAATTATTAGCAAAATTATTGAACGAGCTAGAATTTATGATGTAGAGAGGTTAGAGTTGGAGTGGATGTAGATGTTAAAACCTTTTAAAGCTTATCCTATCATTTTAACACGGTCTTAATATTTTAAAGATAAAAATGGTACCATTTATTTGAAAAATTTATTTTTTCCAGATATATTTGAGGTATATTAATTAATTGGTGATTGCTATTATTTAAAATCATAGGTATTTTCACAATGGAGCTCTTAATGTAGATAATCTGGATGGTAAAGTTGGTGTCCGCAACGAAGAAGTTGCAGATACTAACTTTGTTGAGTGGAAAATGAAAGAACTTAGATTTTAATGAATTAATTGAAGATTTACAAAAAAAAAACCAAAATAACGGATGGATTCAACGGAATTTAGTTTACATCTAATTCATAAATTTCATCATAATCAATTTACTTCATAGTCAATTAATTCATTAGTGATAACTGAGAATCATATTTTAAATCCGACGATTTTAAAGATATTGAAAAACCTGTGCTTCCGCAATTTTTGGAATTAATTTATACCATCAGGGCTGAAGTTACAGTGTGTCTCAAAAAAAATGGTGGTCACAAAAATATCACATATCTCAACAATTACATAACATAGTTAAATAAAATTGGATTCATTTGAAAGCTTTATCATTTACTTTATTAAATAATAAAAAATAAACAAGAAATACTATTGCCAATTTTCTGTAAAGCTAATTCATATATTTTTTTTAGAACTTTGCTAAATTTTTGTCTCTGAAATTTTAACATGGAATTTTTTAACGATAACTCTGACACAAGCATATACATAGTAATTATACAAAAAATTATACCAGTCTGTAGCAAAAATTTTGGAGATTATGTATATAAAGTTTCACACTTCCAGATTTTCTAGACTTTTATCAATTGAAAATAGGAATTTGATTATTTGAAAAAACCATCCAAATGTGTAAATTTCTTTAATGATTGCTCTAAATCCTACATGACAATATACTTCAAAATTTTTCTATCTTATAATCTAAGATCTTCCGATTCTCTGGTATAATTTTTATTACATAATTTTTGGCTACTTTTTCATTAAAAACAATATTTTACAAACCACCATTTTTTTTGAGACACAGTGTATTTCTATACTTTCTCAAGATATTCTTCAAATAGAATTCCTTTCGTAGAACACTCTTAGCTTCAGGGATCGCAAATACTCATTTCAATCAGTAATTCCCTTTGGGGTTTTCTTTTTGTTGATTAATTTGTTCGATTAGCGAGTTAGGATTGTTGATTTCATTTTGTGTTTTTGACATTAATTATATTTTTATTCATTAACAGTTTTGGATAAATGGTATTTTAAATTAATCTCTTATGAATGGACGAATATTGATATTCTTATGCTTAAGATTCATAGAAATATGCGTCAATATTAGATTTTTCTAATTTTCTAGTTTTCCATAGCTTAAATTCATGAAATGGATCATTAACAATTTATTGAACTTTTACAATTTCAGGATTGGAAGCTTCAAAAAGAAAACGTTGAAGTTTTGAATACCTTCTGGTTTTTTTTAAAATAAATCTTCAAACTAAATTTAACATCAAGAGCCTTTTTCCTACATCATAGCATTGAATTTACTCAACCCAGTAGTACTAGATCTTTTACAATTTTTACAACATGATCCGCACAATCTGCACTTGTTTTTCTATAGAGTTTTTTGATCAATCCAAAGTTACTATCTCATTTAAACTTTGTGTGCCAAGAAACTGTAAAATTTAATTCAATGCTTTCATAACAATCACAAATTACTAAAATCAAATAGTCATTTTCCCACCAACATTATCCCAGGTGATACTTCTTTTATTCATCAAAGACCATACCAAGTGTACCATTAGGACCCAATTCATCTTCATCAAGAGCATAGCTAATTTGTTTTGTTCACGTTCTGCAACTTGATAGTCGCACCATTTTATATGACGCAACCTTTATGGCAAATAATTGCATTACTGATAATTTAACACTTTGTAGAATTACTTGTAGATTAATATAAACCTTATCGTTATCATCATTATTAGGATTCCAATCTTTCTTATAAATAAATAGGAGAATTCATTTGGTAGAAGTGCAAAAAAAATTTAATTGCTTTTTTGACTATTAGTAATAATAACATAGTTACTTTACATTAATAAATATCTAAGGTATGAATATGTTTAAGAAATGTTGCAAATATTATCATGGTTTTAGAAAAAGTTTCCTTCAACCCTCAACTACCGATCGTGTGCCTATGGTAACAGATCAGAGATCGTTTCACAACTAGTATAAGTAAGAAATCTAAACTTTAAAAGGGTAAGTAATTATTATATGTATATGTATTAATATTAGCACACAGAGGTTATAGTAAAGTTGAAAGTCAAATCTATTTGCAGGATATCCACTATTTAAGGCACCCATGGTATTTTTACGTTATTATGACCTGTATCTGTATATTTGAATTAAAAATAGGTACATTATCAAAAATTAGTAGAACATTTTCGATTCTTTTTACAGAATATGTGCTGCTGAAGATAGGATATTTTGATGTATCTTCTCTATCCACGTGTTACTTACCAGTCATAATTGCGTGGTATAACTAACATATCAACAAGTCTTGAGCATCAGCGGGATGAGACGGAGATTGTTCATTTGCTGTTTCATATAATTTTCTCATTATAAGTTAGCCATAGATAATGGAAGAATGAATTATTTTACGATTTCAACGATGATATTAGCAATACCATTTGAAATATGAACTATAAATTGCTATATGTATACTATATATATGTTGTGCTTGAAATCGGAATCGCTTCAATTCAAATCAATATAACCAAACGTGAGGTGCCTGATGACGTTAAGTATGAAGTGCTTTAATTTTAGATAATAAAATTCGAGAGCAAGAAGAAGAACTTAACAATTTTAACACTCAAAGTTTAAAGGAAGCCAATTGAAGTCCATATATATAGGATCTATCTATATTAAATGGGTATTTTGTCGATCTACCAATCTAGCCGATAAATGGAACATGCTGGAAAAAAATAGAAATTTCGAGTTAAAAGGAATTGTAAAGACCGAGATTTGATTGATTGATTTTTTTTAATAAATTTCGATTGGATTAAAAAAAAATCTTTTCTATATATACTTATTTATTTTATTATTTTTTACTTTATAATCACGCAAATTTAGACAAAAAAAAAAAAAAAATCCCAAGAAAAATTTAATCTATCGATTTGAGATTATAATAATTAGAGTAAATACTATACGTCTTAGGCTTTCCAACTTTATATAGTTTTATAATTAATATTGTAATAATAAGGTCCCATTAAAATAAAAAAAAGTAAAAATGGTAAAAGATACTAAACTTTATGATATTCTTGAAGTTAGTCCAAGTGCTACAGAGCCTGAAATAAAAAAAGCTTATAGAAAGCTTGCTCTTAAATATCATCCAGATAAGGTACATCTCTCTTAATGACTAAATACTCTTAATTTATTAACTTTAATATTAACATATATATTTATTTTATTTGATTTAAAACAATTAAATTATAAAAGAATCCAAATGCTGGTGATAAATTTAAAGAAATTGGGCACGCTTTTGAGATTTTATCAGACAGTCAAAAACGTGATGTTTATGATAGATTTGGCGAAGAAGGTTTATCAGGTGAAGGTGGTATGGGAATGTCAGCTGAAGATTTATTCACTAGTTTCTTTGGCGGTGGTATGTTTGGTGGTGGTAGGTCTGGTGGACGGCAATCAGGGCCTAGAAAAGGAAAAACTATGAAACATATTTTAAAGGTTTCTCTTGAAGATTTGTATTCGGGAAAAGAATCAAGATTAGCATTAAGCAAAAATGTTATATGTTCTAAATGTGAAGGAAAAGGCGGCAAAGAAGGTGCTGTTAAAAGCTGTCCAACATGTGATGGTACAGGTGTTAAGGTTACCTTGAGAACTTTAGGTCCAATGGTACAACAAATTCAACAAGCTTGCCCTCAGTGTCAAGGTGAAGGTGAAGTAATTAAAGATAAGGATAAATGTAAACAATGTAATGGTAAAAAAATTATCAATGAACGTGAAACACTTCAAGTTCATGTTGATAAGGGAATGAAGAATGGTCAAGAAATTACATTCGCTGGTAAAGCTGATCAGGCTCCTAATACTGAACCTGGCGATGTTGTAATCATACTGGAAGAAAAACCTCACGATCGTTTTACAAGAAGAGGTGATGACTTATTTTACACCGCAAAGATTGAATTATTAACCGCCTTAGCAGGTGGTCAATTTACTATTAAACATCTTGACGAAAGATTTCTTTTGGTTACAATTCACCCTGGCGAAGTAGTTAAACCTGGTATGTGTATGTGATGAGATAGGATGGGTTAAAACTTTATTAGATTATGTTAATTTATCAACGACATGATAATAATAATAGTTGTTAATTAACAAATGTTGTAAATATTAGGTGAATTAAAATCAATTCCAGGTCAAGGTATGCCTTCACATCGTCACCATAACTATGGTTCTTTATTTGTTAAATTTGATATCGAATTTCCACCACCACATTGGACCGATGATGCAAACATTTTAAAACTCGAAAAAATCTTACCACCAAGACGACAAATTGAATCATCAGATGAAGTAAGAGATGAGGTAACATTAACAAGTTTGGATGACATTCAACAACAAACAGCAGAAAATCATATGACTAATGGTATACAAGATGAGGATGAAGAAGGTCATGGACCAAATGTTCAATGTGCTCAACAATAATCTTTATCTCAAAAATTGACGATGGGAATGAACAAGAAAAAAAAATTTTTTTTCTTTCGAGTGGAAGAAGATAAATACATATATAAGTTATGGTTATAATTATAGTTATAGTAGTAATTATTATTATTTGTGTGATTGCTTAATAAAAGGAAATAAAATTTTTTTTCCTTAACAAGGTTGTTATTATATTTAATAATCAAACATTACTCAAAACATTATATTATATACATTCATATTTACTATGTATACAATTTTTTATTTTTATTTTTTATTTTAATATTCTAAATTGTATAGAAAAAAAACTTATGCTATCTATCAATTAAATTTAATTGTTGATTTTTTTAATCATGAATGCGTCTCCGTTAACTGTTTTAAGTGTTTAAAATCGTTTAAAAAAGAAAACCATACTCTGTAAAATTTCAATTGTTCCAAATTTAAACCGTACGTCTAGTCTGATCTCTGAAGCTACCCCTCTCATTATCCACTCAAATGCAGCTCGACTAAACATCAATTCTTTATGTTTCTATTTTAACATCTGTGTAAGTGATATGAAATATCTAAATTCAAATTTTTTTAAAAAAATAGACTTATAAAAAGTTACATCGTCAGTATCTCGTCATAAATCTCATCTTCAACAATATTAACTTTGGTTTTTTCAATATTATAATTTTGATCAGCATATTTGTCATTCAACGAAACTGCAATTGGCTCATAAATTTACAATACTGGAATGACAAATCACAAATCAATAATCACGCACGACCACCATTTTTTAAAATTCCCCCTCTTAAATAATACTCACCCAAGTACTTCTTTAGAACTTAATTTTCCCTTTTTTTCTTTCGGTGGTCTCTATTTTTTAAAAATTAATCTATATAAAATAAATAAATATATAATTTTTTTATTTAATATGAGTGAATTTATTTTATTTAAAAATGAATCGTCCTTTCATCAAGATGCACATCAATTATTTAAAAAATTGAGCGAACAAGCTTGGAATAATTTTTATTAATTCCAGAGAAATGATTTGATAACAACAATTATAGTAATGATAATAAATCTTACCTTAAAGATTTTACAAATGTCTCGAAGGATTTTGGGCTGTAAAGGAAATATAATCGGTTCAATTAATAAAATGCCTCTGGGTGAATGTTTTTTTTTATTTCTTTCATATGTCCCATGTTAATAATGAGATATTCATTTAAATAATTTTGATCTGTTAATTTGGTATTTTTGTCATGCTTTCGACAGATGTCCTTTAGTAAGACACTATATAAAAATATCTTGCGTTTTTTTACATTTAATTAAAATTTTCAACCTTTAACAACCATTGTATTTACTATTTAATTCATTATTTAATTTCAACGACTAATTTCTTATTCTATTCCCTCCTAAAGTCATTCAAGAGCTCGTTTAATTTGTCAACTAGTTTCTTAATTATATTATTGATCCATTGTGCTGAGTTTCAAAGTAATTCTTTAATAATAATGAGGGGGGATTTTTTTTGGTATTTATCGACGATCACCAAGTCGTTTTTTAAAAATTTAACAAAATGTCCAATAGTTTTTCATCATTAGAAAATATTCAAACATTTAATAGCCTTATAACTTCTAGTGAATACAACTTACTATTAAAATATATTAGTAAACTTGTAAATGATTTAACGAAATTATTAAATGCAGAAATTAGAGTTAGAGTGGATAAGGGAGGATGTTAAATTTTTAAAGTTCATTCCAACATTTTAAAAGCAAGATCCTTCTATTTAAAACAGATTTATCAAATTAAAAGATCTGATGATGATAGTATTATTTTATTTGAAAAAGAAAATATAAAAGTATTTGAAGTCATGTTATTGTAAAGATTTATTTAATTTGGGGCATGCTGCAACAAAACCAGACAAAGTGAACATTGGTATTACCAAGAATTTCAGGGATCAAAATTTAGCCATTTGTAATGTGATCATAATTAACAGTTTTATAATGTCTCATTTGTTAAGTGATATATAGAACTGCTCCTATATAAAAATAGTTAATATGAAGCTAATTTACATTAGGTCTACCATGGAACCAAAGAATTACAGCACAATTAGAAGTATTTTGAAAAAGGAGCAAGGTGAAAAAATTGCTCCTTACATTTTCAAAATAAATGGGGTATACTGCAATAAAACCAGACAAAATGAACATTAGTACTACCAAAAGTTTCAGGGATTGTAAATCTGATCAAATTAGTTTGATGATTTCAAAGATCAAAATTATTTCAATTTTGGTGAAAGCAATATAATAACAGCAATAATAATATATTTTATTTGTATTTTTTTTAAAAAAAAAAACGAATGAATAAATATATAATTTTCTTATTGATAGCTACAAGTAATAAGTAATCATTATTTTTTTCAATTAAAAAATTTTAATTATACTCCCACCATGGGACAGATGACGCAACGGAAGTTGTTTTGGAATCACTACCAGAAAAACTTTTGTGTATTATATAATATCACTGGTAAATTTCTTTATAAGGATGGCTTATTGAAGATGGAAGTACGCGTAATGATGGTGAATCGATTGAATTTTGTATGCTCCAATTTTCACGTATAGCATGTTCTTCATCGGATTTTTCCAAGTTAAATCCATCTGATAATATCCGCTTTTTCCAAATTATCTTATCACCATCAATAATATTCTGCCAATTTTTATTCACTTGCACTGCTTTACACATGCTTGAAGTATCTAAATACTTCACTATACGTAAAGCCAACTCAGGTGGCAAATTTTTGAGGAAATACATTTTTACTTCATCTTCGATTGTTGTTATCATTATAATCATCATCATTATAATCATCATAACCATCATTATTATCATAATTACCATTACTATTTCATCATCATTAATTTTGACTTCTTCAATTTTGTCTATTACTCTGGATAATTAAAAACCAAAATTTATAATGATAAATACCACAATTCTTTTTAAATAGAACTAGAGTGACGACAAGTTGCGATAACCACCACCATTCTTTTAATAAACGCTTACCCTTTTTCAAATGTTTCATTGCTCATTCTTATTTTTCTTCTTTTTGATTTTGATGGAGTAGACATCTTTATTTTATTTTTTAATATTAAAATTGAATATAAAAAAGAAGTTGATGATGATGGTAATTATGTTGGAGAGGGGAGATAATATTGACGAAATCAAAAAGTTGTTATTATACGCGAACGAAATGAACAATTAAATCACAAACTATAATTAATGAACAAGAATTAATTAAACAAATTGAAATTGGAAATTGAAACAGAAATACATAATAGTAAAAATAAATTATTATTATTGGCAGGCACTTAGCATTGCACAGATTTTGCTTACGCGAATTTTTTTTTTTTTTTTTTTGGAAAAACAATTTATTTTAAGGTTCTCCTAAAAAAGAGCAGATCTTGCTGGATAATCATAAGAATCTCATCAAGATTTTCGTAACCAATATCAATATTAATATTATTATTATATATAAATACAAGATGTCGAGGCAGCATGACTGAAACAATTTGAATATGCAATGTTTGATTATCGGAAATTGGCAGACGTTGAAGCACGCACACTACCTTGAACATTACAGTCATTCTTTTACATTCCTCATGTGCACAAGGCTAATCTGACCACGGTGCTCCCGATGATACAATGATGCTGTTAAGTTTTCAGGGGGGGGCGCAAAGCTCTGGAGCTGTATCAAAGCTGCATCAATTGTCAAGGATGCTTTTCACTAATCTTCACTCACAGCACCCAGACCAAAGAAGGCTGTCATGTTAGCTGAAAAGTTGCCTGCAATGATCCTACCCCTAAGGATGGCTCTGTGTCCAAGATACTGCAACTCTGGAGGAATATTAAGAGAATCTGCAGCTTGTTTCAAGCACAGGAGGTCACAATTCAGAGCAGGGTTGGTGGCATTTGGACTCTGATGTTAAGAGGAAAGTTGTAAAATAGTGTTTGTTTTGTATAATAATTTTCATGAATGCTCTGTTTTTTTGATATTAACCAATTTATAATTTTGGGTAGGGGACTGGATGGGGTTTTTGCTCAACCAGTCCTCTGTCCTGTAGGTTAAAATTATCACATGATCATATATATCTTTGTCAGCAATATGGCCAACAAGAAAAAGAAAAAAGTCATAAAATGGTTCGGATTTTGTTTGGTATGTTTTGTTATAAATTAATCATTTTCCCAAATTTTCTGTTTCTCTTTAATTTTTGTCTGACCAACTGAACTTGTTATTTTAGTAAATGGCAGTAGGGTTGTTGGCGAGTAGGCATGCCACTGACAAGACAGGGGACGCCTTTGGGATATACCAGCCAAACTCATAGAAAGGGATCTTTTGTC